AGGAGGAGGAGGAGGAGGAGAAGGAGGAGGAGGAGGAAGAGAAAAGAGCGTGGGAGAGGCATGGTGTACAGTGAAGCCACTGGTAAGTGGTGGTGCAGCCACTGTTCCTAGGTCTGCCTGTGACAATGTTCCTCCATGCACCATGTATAAGAACTCATCAGTTTCCTTAGTATTAATTTTGAGTACATAATCTAAATAAAAATGTATATAAGTGTATTCTCTTCATCTATTTATCCTACTCAACAATTATATAGGAGAATATAATTTTATACTTCTCTGAAATTTATAATGCTCCTTTCATTCTGGTTTGCCATGCACTGTGTTATATGACTTTGGAAGCCAAAGGGTTTGATAGATTGTCCCCAAATTTGCATCACTATTTAACTGAAATTGAATAGGTGGCACCTGGCTCCACTTCACCAGTGTACTCACAAACATAATTTTTCTGTTAGAGGCATGTTGTACCTATTTCTTGAGTCATTTCATAGCGCTTTTAACTATTGCCACAAGTAATATAAAAATTAATAAGATTTTTAAAACTTGGGCCTATTGTTGGTTACCCACTCTCTTGCTCTAAAGAATCAGGAATAAAGAATTTTTGTTTTGTTTTGCTTTCTGCTTTATAGTGGGAAATATACTGTCATTCCTCCCAAATGCTTCTAGCCCCACCCTGCTGATTGTTTGTAGGATAGTACCAATCATTAAGTGAGCAGAGGCTTGGAAGCTGCCCCACATCCGTTACTCGGCCATATAGTCCAGACATTCATTAGGAGAGGAAGAATTAAAATACATCATCCACCAAAGCCCATCTCATCTCTTAAGGAGAAACCGAACAGGGTGCGTACATCAGGTTCTATCTTGTCACTTCTGACCAATAAGGCTTAAGAAAGGGACTGAAAAACTGTGTGTTGATTGCAGAAGCCCCTGCTGCACATAGCCTCGTGAAGTGGTTAATTACTTCATTTCCTCATGGACAGGATTGCCACGTATGGCAGAAGAGGCCAACACAGCCTGTTCTGCATGGCATCCCCTGCGAGGAGCGAGCCTGTTGCAGTCCACGATGAGGACCTGTTCTGTGAGTGGCTACCCATGCTTTCCTCCATTATGTTCTTTTTTAATTTTAATTTTAATTTTAAGTTACTTAAAGAATACAAAATAGTGATAAAAAGAAGACCAGATTGTACTTGCTTTGGCAGCACACATACTAAAATTGGAATGATACAGAAAAGATTAGCATGGCCCCTGCACAAGGATGCCATGCAAATTTGTGAGGTGGTCTATATTGAAAAAAAATGGAACAACAAACCAAAAAAACAAAAAACAGCAGCATTCGAAATGATACAAAGTTTCAGTAAGCAAAGTAATAGGAATTCAGCAGTGCTTGCTGCACTACGTGGTGCTGTCTTCAAATTCGTTGTTCAGGTTGCCAGATATAAAAACGCAAGATGGTTAAAAGAAGAAAAGCAAAACAAAGCAATAACAGAAAAGTTGTGAGAAATTCAAAATAATAATAATAACAAAAATGAATACATAGAAAAAATTTAAGCATTAACCACTCTTTTCAAAAGACCAACAGAAATTGAAAGTAGAATTATACAAACTCCTTTGAGCTCTTATCTAAGTTCTACTTTTTCCTCCTTTCATTTTATATAAACTTGCCACTTTATTTTTTAAAATTTTTTAATTTATTTTTTAAAGAGAGTACAAATTAGAATTAAAAGAGAAAAATTACAAGTGATATAGAATTTAACAAAGTAATATGATTTCCACAGTATTTGTTGTAATATATCATGTTGTCTATTATCAGATACATGCATGTAGAATTGGAAGAAGAAAGAAAGAGAAAAATGAAATGTATAAGAAATTAGGAAGAGAAAAAGTAGAAACAATTGAAAAACAGAAAAGAAAAAATTAGAGTATTAACTGCTCCTTTCCATAGACCAGCAGACATGCACTTTTAAGAAGGAAGCTGTATTTCCATGGCTGTTTCATTGTTCCTTCTATTTTCCTGAGAAAAAAGCTAGTGCAGGGCCGGGGAGATAGCTCAGTAGAATAAGCACTTGCCTGGCAAGAGCAAGGCCCTGAGTTCAAACCCTGGTACTGCATTTAGCAGACTTGTACCAACTCCATGGGATATCGTCACGGGGCAGGGCTGGAATGTCTATGGCAGACTTTACCGAGGTGCTGGAACTTGTCACTTATTGGACAGACAGCTGTCAAGGGCATGGCCATCACTTGTCAAAGCCTCTTGGGGAGGGAACTGAGAGTGTGGTAGAGGCACTGTGGTGCAGCCAGCAGACTTGATCTCCTGACGTTTTCTGGTAATTTCTCTGTCCAGTCTGCCTGCATTGGATCCCAACATTCCCAATTGCACTGAAATGGCAATTGAGACTGGTCGTGGTGGTGCGAGCCTGTTTTCCCAGCTCTTGGGAGGCTATAAACAGGTGGATCACTAAGAGTACAACCCTGAACACCATGTAGACCCTTCTCTAACATACAAAAAAAAAAAAAAACCAGAGAAAAAAAGAAAAACGAAAAGAGAAAGAAACATGGGAAACAAAGCGAAAGGCTATGGTCAAGGCTGGAATAATTCAAGGCAGAAAAGAAGCAATTTTTATTCTAGAAAATAATTATACGTAAAATAAATATATAGAGCTACATAAAGGATTGAAAATATTAATAAATAAATGGGAAAAAGAGAAATCATCTTGTACAGAATTCCAAATAATTTACGCATAAAGTTATTCACTTCTCTGTAAGAGATGCAAAGGATACCACATGCTTTCCCTCATTGCTACAGTGTGGGTTATGTTCAACGTTTCAGAAGACAACAGTGGAAAAGTGGTTGGCAAGGGGTCGGGGAGATGGCTCAGTGGAAGAAGTGCTTCCCTGGCAAGCACAAGGGCCTGAGTTCAATACCCGGTTCTGAAAAAAAAAAAAGACATGAGCCAGTGTGTGTTTGGGGCCGGGAAGATAGCTCAGTGGAAGAAACGCTTCCCTGGCAAGTGCAAGGGCCCAAGTTAAACCCCTGGTTCTGTAAAAATAAAAACAAAAAACAGACAAACAAACAAAAAAGCGGTTGGCAAACTGATTATGACTTTTCTGGAGTTCGCTAGCAAATATTACTTTGACCAGTTGGTCAAGGTTGGCACCAGGAGGTATAAATAGCATCCACTTGATATGTTACGAATGGCATTTCACCTTGTAGTCTTCTCAAAAATCCATAATCCTTGTCTAAAAAAGAAAATATAAGCAAGACCAACTCAACCTGAGAGCAGTGTATAAAATATCTAGCCAATGCTATTCAAAACTGTCTATAGCATGTAAAGCAAGGGAAGTATAGCAAATGCTCAACACCGGAGGACACACAAGAGCAGAACAAGGCGTTGTGGATGGTATTCTGGAATAAGAGGCCCTGAGAGAAAGCACTGGTGACCTGGGAATGAAGTCTTGAGTTTAGGTAGTTGTGCTGCATTCCTGCTGGCCTCTTAGCAAGACCAACGGGTGACAGCGGTGTGAGGGAGCCAGAAGGAGGAGGAGAGGAGCTACAAAAAGCTCTGCAGGATCAATCAGTATGTCCTTTTGAAAATTCAAAATGACTCCAGAATTAGAAGGTGTTAGAAAAAATTGGAGAAAAATCAATATGAAATCTAGAGATCTTTGGCTTTCCAAACAACTTTTTGATATAAAACAGATATAGTTTTACTTGTTTGGTTAGTCTTTTAATATATCACTGAATAAATTCTGCAAGTGTTCATTGTTGAGTACATTTTAGTACAAGGCATAAGTGTTTATAGGATGGATTCAACGAAATGGCACTGAGTACACTGTGCTGTCTAGAGGAAGCTCTCAAAAATATTTATTAATAGATTGAATAGGATTGCAAATTATTTTCCCATGACATAGGGTACTTATTACTTTGTTCTAGTTTCTTATGTATCAAGAAGATAGGCATAAGTGAAAGGCTTTTAAAATATGAAAATATTAATCCCCAAGAGCCACACTAGTAAGGATCAATACATAATATAGCAGATTAGTCCCCTGGTGAAGTAATTCATCCTGTGAAATGGTCTTTGCATTTATGCCAGAGGAGGTTTAAGAAAGGTTCACCTAATCAAGGTTATTGGGAAGTACGGTCAGAGGAGTATAACCAGAATGGAACTGATGTGAAGGAAAACTAGATGGATCAATGGCATTAACATTATTGAGGAGGACAGTCATGGTGTGAACAGGTAAGACACTGGAAAGAATCTCCAGTGTCCCCAGCCTGGTCCACGGTTGCCTCAGGTTGTCATACCTTGATGTCATTAGCTATTAAGTTCCCTCAACTACCTAACTCTCCTTGCTCTGTGATTTTATTTCCCATGTAGAGGTGTGTGCATGTGCATGTGTGTGTATGTGTGTGCATGCATGTGTGTGTGCATGTGCACATGTGCATGTGTGCATGTGTGTGTGTGTATTTATGTGTACAGCTAACCTGGGTCACTTTCCTATTTATAGTTCTCATGGCACATTTATAAATTTGTGCTCTAGTTTACTTACAGTTGCATTTGGTTAACCAAGCTTTTTAAAAATATATAAAATATATGTAATGTTATAACTCATCTCATACAGTAGTCTTGAAATTAAAATCAGTAAAAAATATGTATGTTGTACTTAGTAGAATAACTTACATAGTGCTTGCTAATTTTGAAGATTGTTTGTCTTTGACATTATTTTTAACTATAATTGCTTGGTTATTGCTTTTATCATTGTTATGAAATTGCTTTGCATTTCCATTCTGAATTTGAAACACTCTGACAAAATGAACTTAATCTGAAAATTGAATTAGTTTCCAAATCGACTATCCTCTGATTGAACACAACTGAACTTATCCATCTGAATAATCAGTGGGCTTCTTCCTCTTGCTTTGCCCTTTGCTTTCTCCTCTCATCTGGAGCACACAAGGACTATGCATTCCCAAGCTCTCACGAAGCTGGTAGCAGGTAGATGGGCTACGTCATGTTGATCACTTAATCCATCACTGAAATGAGGCAACTCTAGAATGAAACATGAGAGTTACTTAGCCAGCAGGCCTAGCAGCTGTGATAAATGATGTGTGTGATTTAAATGTGAGTAGAATTGTGTTTAATTGAAAATTTGGCCATGACTTGAAGCTTCAAAGATTGGGGCTGCACTAACGGACTGTTAAGGTGCCAAGAATAAGAAAGACCCACTTAAGTCAATATTTCATGAGACAGTGTTACACATATCAGAGTTCTAGAAAATATGTTTCAGGACTACATTCATCAGAATCATCTGGAGCATGTGTTAAATTGTAACTCTCTCAGTCTGAAAGATGTTCTGTCGGATGGGAAATCTCTCAAGAGAATTCAGGAATTCACAGTATCAGAAAGGCTGAGAGGTATTTCCTAGACATCTATGATCTGAGATCCTACTTTTGCTTTATAAATCAGGAAGTAACATATTATTACAAATATGCTAATAATTTTTTTCATGATGGTCATGCATTTCCAAGAAGTCTTGAATTTAAAACTTACTGATGAAATAACACAAAACAAACAAGCAAAATAAAACAAAATACAAGACAAGACAATATGATATTCAAGTATTATACCTTGTCAAACAATATTTGAAGTAAAATGTTGCAAAAGTACATTTTGAACACTGAAAACTGAAGTCCACATTTTATATAACTGCTTTCTTAATGACAAAGATCTTTAGTACAGAAAGTTAACTTGCTTAAAGTAAGCACAGTCTCTTACAAGATGGGCAGTAACTTAACCAAGTAATTTCTTTGTTTTACATTTGTCAGACGCTCTATTTGTAGTTATTTTCTTTTAATAAATGTTGTATTGAACAAACATCAGAAACGAAGTCTATCAAACTGAATCTCATTGGCAGCTAACTGGGTTTACTTCCCTAGGTGTACACTTGACAAGAGACTGACCCTACTCATTATTCAATATTAGTAGTTTTTGAGATTTTTCTGTGAATCGTCTTACCTATTTTTGTTCTAAACTTCCACAGAAGCTATCCTAAAGAACAAACATAATAGACTGACTTATTTGTAATGAACTTTATTCTAATGATAATTAAATAGAATCTAGAACAATAATAATCTACTGCAAGCAATCACAATGACTTCTTTCTAGTCAAAGAGTGCAACTTTGAATCTTAGACCTTGCATCATATCACTTGCTATCCATCTACTGTTCAATAGTCTATGAACTCCCTGAGCCTCAATTTCGTACCTATGAAAAGGATTAATAGAATAAGGTATTACT